CCTTCTTATGGGTTCCCTTTGTGCACATCGTCTGAACATTGGCGAGGCTTTCATACCCGTCGAAATTCGAGTTTCCGCCGTCAAAATTTTAAATTATGTAGTGTTTTTTTTTGTGTGTGTAAATAAAAAACGGTGAATTAAAAACTCGTGAAATTTAAGAAGCTACTGTACGACATTTAACCCTTCAATATGTCTTCAAAGAGACCACGAAGCAGTGAAAGTGGTGCTAACTTAAGCACAAGTCACTATCTGTCCAGAAAAAGGGTGAATTTCCATGGTCCGGCACCGGTCAGGTCCCGAGGTTGCCGGACTAGAGAGGTACAACCTGTATTATGTTAAAAGAAACACCCATAAATCAACACAGCTAAAATTAAGGGATGCAAAATGGTCTGTTTACTAGCTGGGAAGATGGGGGAGGGAGGTGAGGTGATATGTTTGATAATTGATGCCAAGGTCTGTTGCTTATTTATTTATCTCTCCTTGAGAATGACTAAGTTTTTCTCTTATAAAATATCACTGAACTGACCTGGCAGAATATAATTAACATTGCTGGAAGTCTTATAAGATAGTGATTAGTTTGAATATATACATGCTATAGTTCGCATTAGACATACAAATTTTGGTTTTAATTAATTTTAATACAAAGGGCAAAAAATTTTATCTCTTGTGCAAAATAGATGACGTTTATATTCACATTATTCGCTGTCTTGCAAGGATTCTAGCAATGCAAATTATATTCCCCTAACTTTAGCCTAACTTTAGTCTGTGATATTATATAAGATAAAAATTTTAAGCCTAAAACCACCCAATCCTGAGGGGGGGGGGGTGACAGTGACACGTTTGACACTTGGGCCCGAAGGTCTAGTGAAGTATTTATTTATTTATTTATGTCCTTTAGATTGAGTTTTTGTTTTTTGTTTATAAAATGTCATAGAAGTGACCGGGGAGAATACAATTTACATTGCTGGAATTCTTATAAGATTGTGATTAATTTGAATACTGTACTGTATTATCATGCTATAGTTTGCACCAGACAAAAATTTTAGTAATAATTTAGTACATTATTTTGAGTACATGTACAGTATAGCTTTGCCTTTAGGACAATGCAGCGTGCCCAGAGAAACATTAGGCGCGAATTTTAAAATATGATGCGCCAGATTGACTCGCTTAAAATAGGAAAGATTTGCTTTAAATTAATACATTGTCCTTAATTGTGGGTGTTGCCTTAAATCAATAATCTTAAATTGAATCGCTCTAAATCGATGTTCTACTGTATTGGATGACACATTTCCGTCCTTATTCGTGGCTTTACTGTATCGGAATATATTATGAAATAGATTAAGATGAATGAATTATAGGAATACAATATTGATTATATTAAGATACAGTACTATACAAAACTGTGTTTGGGTGTGTAGCTGAGGAGAGGAGGTGGCAACTTACCTCCCTTGCTCGTCAGCCCATGATCCCTTTATAATGACAGAATGCAATTTCACCATAATTCCTATGTTATTTAGATTCAGATCAGTTATTGCGCCATAGTATATTCCCAGTCTCTTGTTTATAGAGCGGTACACAGCTGATCATTCCTGCTCTTCCTAACAGTGTTACCAGCACTCGCCATCTCTCAAGCACCCTTGTTGTCACTGCTCAAGAGGGTTGGTGCTTACCACAGGATCTGTTTGGAGCACTTAATAAATAATATTGTAGTGTATTTATCAGAACTTAATAAATGTTATTGTAGTGTATAATGCATCTCCATATGCCTTGGTTTATTCACTGATCAATTGTCCAAGTGCAAAAATAGCAAAATTGGGCTCTCGTGTATCAATTAATTTTAAAATAGAAATTTGAAATTAAAATTAAAATGGTATAAGACAATGGTTTAGTAGTGCTGTTAATGTGTGTACTGTATAAGTGCCTTGTCATGTCACCTCACCTCCTTCCTTGTCACCTCACCCCTCGTCAACTCACCTTATAGTGTTACATTTATTTATTACTGTATTATTTATTTTATTATTACTGTTTACTTTACTTTATTATTACTGCGGCACAGTAATTATAAATATTGCAGATTATTTTATGTGGCAGCCAAGGCATGGCCAGGTGCAAAGAGTGAACAGAAAATGAATGAGTAATCGATCACAAAAATTCGGAAATTGTTGAATTTTGTCAAAATAGTCCGAACTCGGTAAATTAGGATTTTTCGGTAATTTGAGTGACCTAGAGCCCCCTTTTTGTTGAATTAACAAGGGTATAGTATACAGTTACTCTCCATATTTTCTTTGCACATTCCTTTGTAATTCTTTCCTGAACAATTCCTCCATATTCTTGGGGTTCTTGTTTTCCTCCTACATATGGGGGCATAGGAGAGGTAATAGGTAAATAAATGCACTAATTATCACCAATTTATTTTTCATTTACATTTTCCTTATACATTACAGATTTCACTGGTAAACAATGTTTTGAAGTATGGAATCAATGAATTGAAACTGCGGTTCAGAACCAGATTGTCGACTCACCTGTATGATAACTATCTCAAGTAAGTGTTATATTAATGTAGTTGCAGCACCCAAAATACATCATGCCCATTTATGGTGACAGGGAGTTTCATTCCTTTGAAGGATTGGAATATAGGAGTCTTGGTCCCTGCCATGTCAAGGTTTCATATCGCCCTTAAAGAACTATTTTTTTTTCAGTCACGTGGGACATAATTAGAAGAGGAAAAATTTTGTCGTTTTTTACAACATGTTACCTGTGGTGTGTTAAACACATAATTCATCAAGGTTTCTCCTATTATGGGAGTTAATGAGGAAATTATTTACCCTAGTTTTGAGGTCTTTTGTACTATAGCTGCCACACGCATTGCCGAGGTGCTGAATGTCTGGACTGATGTCCTGTCTAGGAATAGATCAATGCCTTTTGACAATGGATTAGATTCTTTCTCTCCCATTTGGATTCTATTCCTTACAGTTTGCCCAAGTGTGAACTTATTTGTTATGCCAGATAATTACCAACTTTCAGTACAGCATGCCCTAACAATTCGTGGATTTTTAATTCGCGTTCTTTTATTATTCACGGGTGTCACCTTGGATTTACCCAAAAATGTCTGTGGGTAGTTTTAAGGTTCACTGCATTTTCACAGCTGAAACGGGGAACGTGCGAGTTTTCTGGCATCCCACAAAGTGTCTCTCTTGTCTCAGGCGGCTGGGCCACGTGCGCTCACTTCGCCTTAGTCAGGGTTAAACACTTATTTGTCTTGCGCATGTGCTAAGTAGCACATGCTCCTCGTGCTTGTGATGGCTCCCAAATGCCCTTAACCACTTTCATCCAGCCACGGGAAGGTGCCCAAACAAATGAAGAGAGAAAAGACGGTCATGTACTGTATTTCTCCCATATGTAAGCCTGGCAAGAGGAGTGGGTAAGGGGAGTGAGTGACTGCTAATTAGTGCGTCATCTGCAGTTTTAACTCTCCTTGCTCTCTGCCATATTTCACTGGATTTACTGTTATTATTAGTGTTTGCTGATGAAATAGTGTTTAATAATGATTAATCATGGCATTGTAGCTAGGTTAGCTTATCATTGTAATCACAAGGCTACTGGGCCAAGCTGTGAGGTGTTATGTTTTTTTTCAACTCTTATTTTCGGGTAGATATACGTAACTTTCGTCATTTAATTTTACTGTGTTACGTACACACACCATCCTACGTACATATTGTGAAATAAAGTACAGCATTACACCGCAATTTTCGACATCCTTCCAGTTGGGTTAGCAAGATGGCTACAAAAGAAATTCATTGATTAAACAATCTACATATCAGCCCAGTTGGCATTCAGATGCCATTTGTTCTAGATAGTAATTTTTACAAGACGAAAGTTGCTGTATAGCAACCCAACCAACCCAACTTCAATAACAAAGTACAGAGTTGACTTGAAGGTTGACTCTCGCATTTTTTTCTACATTTCGATACATTTTGTTGTCTTGTTTTAAATTTATTTGTGGGACGATTTTCCCATTATCATTTGTATGTGTGTGTGTGTGTGCAATAATTGGCAAACACATAAAGGGAATATACATTCCTTTGCAAACGAGTAAAAATGTATCCCTCCCCTCAGGTCAGCAAATGATATTCGCGAATTTGGCAATTGTCGGCCATTTTGATACTCAAACCCCCTCAAATTTTAAGGGCATTCTGTATTAATATTTCCTTTTTTACAATTGAGCTAGCTTGGAGTTGATGATTATTCTAATCAATAGAATTCTTATGGACAGGTTTATACCTACTCTTCTCTTTCTCCATCATTTGATTTTTGTGTCTTCAAAGCTGAGATTTCAAAGGAGTCAGTTTTATGGTAGCCCTTTTTGTTCAATCCAGAATGCAACATCAAGCTTTATACCTAGTATGTAAATGCCTAGCATTAACTCTCCAGGCCAACATACAGGCAATTAAAATATCTAATAATTACTTAAATATGTAATATTAGGAGGACACGTCACTACCTGGCATTTAATTGCAATTCTCAAAACTCCCTCCTGCACCCTCCATCACACGCATTGCAACTGACATCTTCTTGCCTGGCATATCAACTGTAAATGCACACAAGGAAAGTTCCTCTAATTTGTGTTGTAATAGCTGAAATTTTAAGTGCCATGAGGATTTAATTTTTTGTATTTATTCACCTTAGCACGGTGAGGAAATCGAGTGACTTTTATTTTGATTGTGACTCTCAGATATTGTGTTTGGGGCAATTTTTTATACGGTCTGGTGAAGCATGGCGACTGCGGCTGGTCTTCCATCTAGGAAGACAGTCGATCTTTAGTGACTAATATCCTCTGCTTTCAAATCACTTAATGAATGACGTTGTTTTTCGCCCTTCCGGGCTCGTCTTCACTGAAAGAATATACCGTACTGTACAGTGAACCCTCACTTTACGCGATCAATTGAACTCACGGCGGCCCGCGTAAAGTGAACAACATAACATATGGGATTAATTGAAATAGAGACCGGGCCGACCCCCAAACTCCACTTTTTTCCGATACAATACGTACATTTTAGTAAAAATAACATCTTAACTTTATGATGGTATTCACACACATAATATAGAAGGGAACAATCAATAAGAGAATAATATACTGTAGGTTAGGTTAGAAAAAACAAGGTGAGGGTTAACACTTACGTTAGTAGAAGAGATGGGTCGGCGTACGGGAATGGAGGCTGGTTCCGAGGCAGAGGGCAGGCTACTGGCCCTCAGGTGAGTCTTCATTACTGTCATCCACACTTACTAATGCCTCCCTGACAAATCCCTCAAAGTCATCATCACTATCTCTGTCTGTCACTATCATTGGCTTGGGCTGGCTGTGGTGGGTTGCGGGCGAAGAACTCGGTTATGCTTTGCTGATGGCTGGTGTTTATGTTGTCGTGATACACCTTGATGTAGGGCTCCATAGTCTGCAACAGCTGGGTAGTGAAGATTTCGTACCGGTTATCATCAGGGTCGTCGGAAAGGAGGAGCTTGACTTTCTCAATACACTCGATGGCATCCCTTACATTACTATGGGATAACTTGCGTTCTTCTTGGGATGACGCACCACCTGCCTCTTCACTGACGTCATCATCATTTAGCATCTCGTCGGTAGTCACATCAGGATCCCTTATCACCTCCAGGATGTCGTCGTTGGTGGTCTCGGAGAAGCCTGCAGCTGTAACACTCTGTGCAGCTTCTCTGGCAAGGTCCACTGCTACTGCAACAGTCTGAACCTCACCAGTCACAGATTTACTCTGCCTCCCACCCGGAATACCTTGCAACAAATGTTTCCATGCGTGACGAACAGTTGCTACAGACAGCTGATCCCATGCCTCCACCAAGAAGTCCACAGCTTTCTTGACATTGAATGTTCTCCAAAATTGTTTCACAAGTACTTCTTGCTCTGCCAACAGTTGTTCCTCGTCGTCTTAGCTCTTCCTATTGGTGTCACTCAGGTTACGCAACTCTTCCTTGGTGTTGGTGTAGTCGTTCAGGAGCTTAAATTTCTTGGCAGAGAATGCAGCTTTCACATTACAGATCAATTCTTGGTCCAAGGGCTGTATTATAGATGTAGTGTTGGGAGGAAGGAAGACCACTTTTACGTTGGGGTGACGATCTAACAGTAGGGGCGAGTGTCCTGGTGCGTTGTCAAGCAGCAACAAACTCTTGAATGGAACATTGTATTCCTCACAGAATTTCTTAACGTCAGGAACGAAACAGTCATCAAACCAGGAGAGGGACAGAGTAGAGAACATCCACGCCTTACGTGCGGTCAGCCAGTGGACATTTAGCTTGGTCATGTCCATGCTCTTGTAGGCGTGCGGCTTGCGTGCTGTGTTGATCACCGATAACTTGAGCTTACAGGTACCGGAGGCATTGGTGGTAAACAGCACGGTGATGCGCTCCTTCTGCAACTTCCGGCCCCGACACTTGCTGGAATTCTTCACAACAAAGGTCTTGGAAGGTAGCTTTTTCCAAAAAAGACGAGATTCGACCATGTTAAACACCTGGTCGTTGGTGTAATGTCCTTCCTCCATAATCTCACGTAAAAACGGAGGAAATTCCCTAGCCGCTACACGGTCAGCACTAGCTTCTTCACCACCAATGTTAATATTGGTGATCTTGTTCCTCTTCTTAAACCTCTGCAACCACCCAGAGGAAGCATTAAAGGGTTTGGGCTCTGCAATTCCCATCTTCCGTGACACTGCAGCGTACAGTTCACGTGCGTACTCCTTAACTGACCGCGTGTCCACCGCCATGTTCAGTCGCGCCTGACGAACCAAGTAGCTCACAAGTAATTTTTCCGTCTTGAGAAGCACCTGGTCGTGGCAATACTTGATCATAGAAGCACCTGTAGACTTTGTGATGTTCATGTGCTCCTTTATCTTGGCTGCATCCTTCTTAATTGTCCTGATAGTTGATTCGTTAACACCATGCTGGCACGCGAGATCAACCTGTCTTGTTCCTTTCTCCAACTCTTGTATGATCTTGTACTTAATTTTGTAGCTTAAGGAACGTCGTATCTTCTTAGGCTTAGGGCGGCTGGGTTCAGGTAATGCAAGGTTTCTTTGTGGTGGTGGTGGTCCAATGGAAGCCATTCTTATGGAACAATGGATACTGATATACACGGTGTAGCCGGGAGGGGTGTAACTGACGCGGGTAGGACAAGGGGGCTTGAACGCTCCCGCGGCGGAGCACGTCATAGTACGTTAAACCAATCACAGCTAGCGGGGAGGGATTTGAGGATGCTTGGCCCAATCACAGTCCAATACGTCATATGATGTCACCGATAACTCAACAAAGACATACACTGCGCAACCTTCTCACGCTTCCTACCCAACATGGTGGGTGAGGGCGGGAGATATGGCGGGAGATTTGGATCCAAAAATGGCGCGGCGCGAGAGGACCGCCAGCCGCTCACCGCGTAAAAGGGTACACACACCGCGTAAAGTGAGCATTCCGTGTTCAGCAGGGTACCGCGTAAACGTGGAAACGCGTAAAGTGGGACCGCGTAAA